GTTCATGCACCAGGCCTCTAGTTTCTAATAAAAGGAAGGAAATTCTCACACATGCTACAACATGGATGAGCCTTAAGGACATTATGCTGAGTGAAATTAACCAGTCATAAAAGGACAAATACCATGTGACTTCACTTTTATGAGGTCCTCAGAGGAGTCAAACTCATAGAGACCAAAAGTAGAATTGTGGGTACCATGGGCTGGGGAGAAGGATGAGGAATGAATGTTTAATGGGACCAAGTTCCAGTTTGTGAAGATGAGAAAGACCTGGAGATGAATGATGGTGATGGTTGCATATGAATGTACATAATGTCACTAAACTGTCAATTTAAAAAGTGGCTAGCATGGTAACTTTTACGTTATGTGTATTTTACCACATTAGAAAAAATAATCTAAGGCAAGATGACAGGAGGATCTACACATTGTTTTATTTTCCTTTTTGTCCAGACAATAGCCAGCTCATGAGAAAAATATCTGATGCTTTAAAGCCCTAATATTTGGGGTTTGCTTGTTACTAGAGCATAACTGAGACCACCATGATTCAGATGTGGAAGGTGACACTTGAGTCTACTCCAGTGTATACTGATGCCCTCATCAATGAACTCCAGGGCTGGTACCAGGATGAGAAGCGAGGCACTTGCCTCAGGAACAAAATTTAAGGGGGCATCAAAGAACTCAAGAGTCAAGATGGCTACTGTTTGAATGCAGTGGTTTACAAATCAAAATCAATGCAAGACATTCATGGTGATTGAAATAGCAAAATGCTAAATTTAGATGGGATCAATGGGAACAACCGTCCATCACTTTTGGTGAATCAGTACCCCAGCTCCCTCACTTCTCAACTGTGTGTCCTACACTCTCTCAGAGGTCCCTAAAGAGAAAGAACTCCATGTACCCACCATAGAAATGTGCTCATTCAAACTCAGTATTTGCTATCTACACCTCCTTTCTTCTTTTTTTCTTTCTTTTTTTTTTGCTATTTCACATCCTTTCTTTTTTACGCATGCTTTCT